TATCAAGCCAGGAAAAGACATGGAGAAACCTTAAATGAATGTTACAAAGTAAAAGAAGCCAATCTGAGAAAACTACATACTTTATGTTTCCAACTACATGACATTCTGGAAAAGGAGAAACTATGAAGGTAATAAAAAGTTCAGTGGTTGTCAGAGGGATGAATAGGCAGAACACAGTAGATTTTGGGGGCAGTGGAAATACTCTGTATGATACCACAGTGATGGATACACATCATCATACATTTGTCCAAACCCACAGAATGTACAACACTAAGACGGAATTGTAATGTAAAGTATAGACTTTGGATGATTTTGATGTGTCAGTTTAGGAATGTACCACTCTGGCAGGGGATATTGATAATTGGAGAAGCGATGCATATGTGGGGGCAGAGATATGTGGGAAAACTCTGTTCCTTCCCCTTAATTTGCAGTGAACCTAAAACTGCTCTAAAAAATAAACTCAACAAAAACCAAGAAAAGGTGAATTTTTTGATATGTGAATTGTATCTCAATAAAAGAGTGAGAAAGCAAAAGAAAATTAAGTCAACAGACACTAAATTTGGGCTCCCCTGGTGGCGCAATGGTTAAGAATCCACCTGCCAATGCAGGGGACACGGGTTCAAGCCCTGGTCCGGGAAGATCCCACATGCCACGAAGCAACTAAGCCCGTGTGCCACAACTACTGAGCCTGCACTTTAGAGCTCATGTGCCACAACTACTGAGCCCATGGGCCACAACTACTGAAGCCCACGCGCCTAGAGCCCATGCTCCGCAACAAGAGAAGCCACTGCAATGAGAAGCCCATGCACCACAACGAAGAGTAGCCCCCGCGCACCGCAACTAGAGAAAGCCCGCGCACAGCAACAAAGACCCAACGCAGGCAAAAATAAAAATAAAAATAAATAAATAAATAAGCAAGCAAAAAAAAAAAAAGAGAGAGACGCACAAAATCCCACACCCATCCTACAGGAGTTTCAGGAGCAGAAAAAGGATGAAACAGAGATGAGGAAATCATAAGGAAATAGGAAAGCAAAAGAAAGGCTGCAGCATTTAACAGACCGACTGGCAAAGCAGATTAGTAAAAAGGGATACCTAGATACATTCTAGTAAAAGTTTGCAAGCCTGGAATATAAAGAAAAATTCTTCTCTCACTGGAAAACAAAATCAAACTGGTCACATATAAGAGAAAGAAAAAGTCAGGTTGGCCCCTGAGTCTTCCAGAGCTGCACCCAGCACATGAGAGAGTGAGCAACAAAGCAGCATGGCACAGAGGTGAGTGTGGCCTGAAGGTGCAAGAAGGTCTCATTCATCCTGCTATGCCTGAGCCCCAAAACCACAGACAGAAAGCTTCAAGGAAGGAGGAACTCCAGAAGCAGAGCCTCTGAGAGATATTCTACTTCAAAAACAAAAAACTACCAAATAATGAAATCCCATCAACCAAGAAGTGAAGTAATTCACAAATGGAGAAACTGTATTTTAAAAATTGACGATGAGCATTTACTTTACTAAAGTATCAAACTGTACTAAAAATTAGAAAAATCCTTCCTAGAATATAAATATCAAAGGACCCTAAAATAAACCTGAGAAAGAACAAAGTTGAAATCACATATTCTGATTTCAAAACTTACTACAAAGCTATGGTAATCGAGACACTGTGATACTCACATAAAGACAGATTTATAAACCAAGGGACTAGAACAGGGAGCCCAGAAACAAACCCTCAGCATATACAGTCAAATGATTATCAACAACAGTGCCAATACCGTTTAACGGGGAGAGGACAGCCTTTTCAAGAAACGGTGCTGGGAAAACTGGATATAAACATAACAAAAGAATGAAACTGGACTCTTACCTAACACTGTATTAAAAAAAACTACCTCAAAATGGATCAAAAACCTAAATGTAAGAGCTAAAACTATTATACCCTTAGAAAAAAACTAATGAAAAGATTTATGACATTGGTTTTGCAGTGATTTCTTAGAACACTAAAAGCACAGGCAACAAAAGAAAAAATGAAAAACTAGATTTCATCACAACTTAAAACTTTGTGCAAAGGGCACTATCAGGGTAAAAAGGCAACCCACAGAATGGAAGAAAGTATTTGTCAGTCATATACCTAATATGTCGTTAATACCTAGAATATATATAGAACTCCCATAAACAACACAAGACAACCCAATTAGAAAATGGGCAAAGGACCTGAACAGACATATCTCCAAAGAAGGTATATAATGGTGCTCAACATCAGTAATTAGTGAAATGCAAATCAAAACCGCAATGACATATAACTTCATACCCATTAGGAGAGCTACTATTAAAATAAATTGAAAAAAATAAGGGTTGAAGAGGATGTGGCGAAACTGGAACCCTCATGCATTGCTGGTGGAAATGTAAAATGGTGCAGCCACTGTGCAAAACTGTTATGATGGTATCTCAAGAAGTTGAACATAACATTATCAAATAATCCAACAATTCCACTCCTAGTTATATACACAAAAGAACTGAAAGCAGGGACTCAAACAGGTATTTTTGCACCAATGCTCACAGCAGCACTACTCGCAACAGCCAAAGGTAGAAGCAACCCAAGTGTCCATCAACAAAAGATAAACTGTGGCATATACATATATGGAATATTATTCAGCCTTTAAAAAGAATGACAGTCAGATACATGCTACAACACAGATGAACTCTGAAAACACTCAGGTAAGTGAAATAAGCCAGACACAAAAGGACAAATGTATGATCCCAGTCATATTAGGTACCTACAACAGGGAAATTCATAGAAACAAAAAGTAAAACAAAGGTTTTCAGGGACTGGGATGAGGAGAGATGGGAGTTACTGGTCAATGGGGAAGAGCTTCTGTTCGGAATAATGAAAAAGTTCTGGAAATTGACAGTGATCGTGGTTGCACAACATACGTATCGCAATATACATAATGCCACTGAATTATACACTTAAAATGGCTAAAATGGTAAATTTTGTTACATATATTTTATAATTAATAAAATTTTTTAAATTAAAATATTATGCAATATCTGTGAATTATACCTCAATAAAGTTGACTGGCAAAGGCTATAAAATTTGATAAATATTCACCGTTAAAAGTTCTAACAAAACGGCATTTTTACACACATTGACTGGGAATGCATGTTGATACCATGTTTCTACAGAGCATTTCAGCAATTTATCAGAAGTCACAAAAATATCTATTGCCCTCTACCCATTCGTTCTAATTCTACAAATCTGCCCTTAGGGGAGAAAGCAAAAATAGGCATGAAGGTTTAAGCACAAAATGTTCATCAATATATTATTTAAAATATTATAATACTATCCAAAAATAGGGAAGCGTAAATAAAATGATCAAATATTCATAGCATATAAAAAGAGGCATACCATAAAAAAACTTAGACAAATAATTAGTGACATTAAAAGAATACATGTTCTAAAGTGGAGAAACATACAAAATTATGTTATTTTATTTTGTTTTTCTATATGCTGAACAAAGCCAAGGAATAAACATACATACTTCAACAGTGATTGTCCCCCAGCTAAGTTAAAGACCCTTTTCATATGCTATCAAGGTGATATGACCCAGGACAGAGAAGGCCTCGCTGGAAGTAGCATTTGAATGGAGAAAGAGAGTAAGAAGGCTCCAAGCATAGGGCTTATCTATCCATATTTTCCTCAAATTAAAACTGTTTTACAATTAAACTTAAATCTAAAAAATAGAAAAAAATAGTAGTACCTGGAAAGGATTAAGAATGTTTTGTAAAAATCAGCAGAGGGCACCCTACTCAAGGATATAATTTGTTTTAGCTGAAGTGCTAAGATTTTTTTGTTGGTTTCTTTTACAGTGAGCATACCACAATCCTTCTCAAAGTTTAACATGCCCAAAAATGATCTAAAAATCCTATTTTGTAACGCCAGATTTTATCTTGGGAGAGTAACATTAGAAGATGCGTAGGAATAATTATCAAAAAAGCATTTTGTGAACGCCTATTGTTTCCCCTATATTTTGGCAGCATGGAAGAATAATTACTATCCTACCACTGGCACATTTTACAAAACCCCTTCACATTCAAGTTTTTACAAGCTTCTCAACAATAATGCAAGATAAGTAGGATTGATAACACCAACTTCCAAACCCCCAAAATACACTAAGTACCCACTAAGAACCAGGCAAGGTATTTCATACACCTACTTCATTCAAAATTTAATTGTAAAGAATATATATAACTGAATCACTTTGCTGTACACCTGAAACTAACAACATTGTAAATCAACTATACTTCAATTAAAAAATTTTTGATTGTTACCAAAAATCTATGAAGTTGATACACTATCCCCATTTTACAGATGAGTAAACTGACACTCAGCAGTTATAATAATTTGCCTGGGGGCAGATCTGTGATCTACACCCACATCTGTCTGAATCCAAAGCACTTTCATCATCCCACAAACAGTCCCCCAGAAGCTGAGACTCGGAAAGAGGTAATCAATCATCTGACCAAGTCTCACTGGCAACCAGAGCACAGAGCCTTCTTACACTTTAATGAGCTTTTCACCAAGTATGCTGCCCCCATATAAGCAACTACACATTCTTCTATCAGTTTACAGAACACAATCTCACTAGATTTTGTAAACCATCTTAAGGAAAGATAAAGTGGCAAGGGAAAACGCCATAGAAGCGTAACTAAATTAAATCACAGGGATAATTGTAAAGTATTTGATAAAGAATATTCAAAAGAGTAACCATTAATAAAGCTTCCAGATGTAGTTTACATAACCTTGGAATTATATTTATAATATTAGGATAAGGACTATTTTGAAATCTTTTTAAATGAACAACTGGGATGTCTACAGAAAGTGCTATGATTCAGGGTCATCATTACTTTAGACTATTTCGTGATAAGTATTTAGGCCTATGTGCTTTTGATAAATATGTATGTTTTAACTACTTAATAAAATAATAATTTATTAGCATATAAATATTACTTACCTATCCCAGTTTGGAGCTATTCGCAAATGCTGGGTTAGCAATTGGAACTAGAAAAAAAAATTAAGATGTATTTCATTCATGAAATGACACAGAAAGTGACCACTAAGTTAACAAATCAAACCTGTATACATATGAAATGCAAATCCTGCACCAAGGAAATTAATTATATTCAGTATTTTTGCATCTTTGTAAATATAAGATAAAAATAAAAACTAAGAATAAGAACCTTCAGTTTCTCCAACTCAATTATATTCCCTAAATATGCCTCTGCCCCTCACCCCACAAACACACACCAAGTACCAAATAAGGAACTGTAATACTATCCTGGAAGAAAATGAACTTAAATTTTTTCAAGCCAGTTCCCAAACAAAGGCCCACAAGGGAAAATGCCCCAGACCACTTTAACTCCTTTCTGAGGATGACTTCAAAAGCTCTGCCAGATTCCCATGGTTTCATCAATGAATCAAGACAGTCCAAGAAATATCTCCAGGAGAAGGAAAAAGAAAAGTCTTAGAGACTCAGTTCCCTGGGCAGTGTCACATCTGAAACCTTGGAATTTACCAGGAAGACCCAGTAAATAGAGCCCCTATTCCACGTGGGCAGCTCACTCCAGCAGCTGATGAAAAGACCTCTGTCTTATGATTTCACAGATGAAAAATACCTTACAACTACTACAAGTTAACGTAAAATGCAAGCTGAGTATTACCAAAGGAGTTGTTCAAAATCACTGTCAATTCAACTGCTTTTAGATCTAAGCATTAAACAGAGGACAATTCTGGCAAACCTATCATCTTGATGGGTCACTTTTTTTCACTGTAATTAAATCGTATTAGTATTTTAGCGCTTGTTTTAATCTCTACAGAAGTAAAAGAGTTATGTGCAAAAGGAGAGCTGCAAGCCCGTGATAGGAGTCTTTACTTCACGACTTAACTACGTACCAGGGGTGAGTGGAGGAGCCTGGTGGCCACCTCCCTGTGCCCGGCCACCACGCACAAGTAGCAAAGGAGATTCAGCTTGGCTCGGGAGGCCCCTGTGCTCTTCTCGGGGGAGTCGATCTGTGAGCACACTTGTTGCAGAAAGTCACTCCAATCTTGGTCTTCTAGAAATACTAATTTATCCACTGCAGAGGAAACAAAATATTAAAAGTGGGGACCATGTGAAAAAGGACTGCTGAGAACATTACAAGAAGAATAAAACGGAACACAGAATTTCAATACCTAAGGTGAGGGCACACAGAAAATTATAAATTTACATTGTCAAAACCAAAAATACTCCAAAGACGTCACTCCAAAGACGTCACTACTTTTATTTGCTCTTCTATGTTCATCTCTTTTTCTCCCCATGGAGACGTTTTGAACTATGTCAATGGAAACCTATGCTTAAAAAAAAGAAGGTAGATGCCTAAATTTAGGAGAATGTTCTTACAACCAAGAACATAACAAAATGCAAACTTAAATAAAACTGTACTATGGAAAAAACAAGATACCCTTTGCATAAATAAAGCAACCTAGCCTTTAAGTACTGGAAAAGCCAAAATTTCTACAGATGTTATAAGGTCCCAGTGAAATTACTAGTAAACATAACTAGGTTAATGCAAAGCTGAAATCATCTGGGAGTCCCACCTCCAAACCCCTATACAAACAAAAGACAAAAACTGGGAAATGAAATGCCAGCTAAAACTAACATAATTTCACCTAATCTCTATATTTAAACAAAATAAGCTATAACAATAATTTCCTAAAATAATTCAAAGTAAAGGGGGAAAGCGACAGAATATTATTTTGAGATAATTTTCCCCTAAGTTTTCATAAATAGTGCTTCTACTTGGAACAGTTTATTTAAATTTGAACATATGTTGTTTATTTTGAATTTACTTTGATTTGATTTCAAATCGTAGATTCTACTCTAGCTATGATGAAGAATTTTTCCAGATCTAGTTTAACAGCTTAAAATATAACTTATCAAACAAAATTTAAGGTATAAGAAAAATTCTTATACTCACCCTAAGTAAGGCTTTGTTAGGGGAAATGAAAAGTAACAATTAACCTTTAAGTATCTCCAGTCCTACATCAACCCCACAAAAGTGAACCATCTGACCCTGATCTCAACTGCCCTACTCCCTCAAGTAGAATCTCGATTCTTCACTGTGGTTTCCAACCTTCTGTACCCATAAGAGCACCACTAATGTTGGAAATTCAACTGGCTTTACAAGGGAAAGGACAGGAGAAGGGCCCACCCATTCAACAGGAAAACTCGCGCAGTTTCATAGGAACTTTCCCACGCACAAGACTACTGAGCAGCCTAGACCCAGCTGAGTAAGGTCAAACGCTGGCTCAAATGGATTACATGTTGTTTATAATTTATACAGTGTCTCAAGAATATAGCCAGTTGGCAAGAAAATAAAAATTTAGCTATTCATAAATACAATATTCCATTTGCTATTAAATTTCATATTTGTATTTGTCCACCATGAATCTATGTGCTTGATAAGCCCTTTATGATCCTACCTGAATGTGCTGGTAGATGCAATATTTTTGGATCATATTTAATTGGTGGTTGTTTCATTATCTGTGGTTAAAAAAACAAAACAAAACCTTTTAAGATGGGTATCTATCTCCTGATATGTCTCCTATATCAGATTATAAATCAATGAGGACAGAAAAGAACACTGTAAAATTTATCACCAAAAAGAATAAGCATTCAACAAAGCCCCTTCAGATTAAAATAAACAAATATAGGTAATAATGCATAAAATAAAATCATTTCAATTGATATCTTCAATAAAATAAAGCATCATGGAAAAGGGTCACCCTATCCTGGCTTACTCTTAGGCTAATTTACCTCTAGGTTAGAAATTTACTCAACAAATATTTATTGGATACCTGCTAGGGTGAGGCACTATGCTAAGTGCTAAGGGGGATACAAAGACATGATCCTACTGCCAGAGAGCTGACACACAGGTTAGAAAGATAAGACAAACATCTGTGAAACAACAGAAAAACGTAAATTAGAATGCAAAACAGGCGGGACATAATTACAGACAAAATACTTCAGAGAAATGTTTCTAAAAAGATAGAGAATCAGAAAGGACTTTAGGTTGATGTGGTCAGGGCAGGGTTTACGAAAGACCTGGAAAGTGGCATGAGGTCTTGAAGAGTGGTTAGGACTTGATGACTGAATTGGCAAAGATACAATTTCATGAATAGGAAAGCACACGATTTCCTTGAGCAAAGTGAGGAAAGCGTATAGCAGCTGGATCCATGAGTTTGGAATAGCTGGGGTACTTCAACATGACACTTTTAATTAAAAAATTCAACCATCGAACTTCCCTGGTGGCCCAGTGGTTAAGAATCCTCCTGCCAGTGCAGGGGACACAGGTTCAAGCCCTGGTCTGGGAAGATCCCACATGCTGCAGAGCAACTAAGCCCATGAGCCACAACTACTGAGCCCGAGTGCCACAACTACTGAAGCCCATGTGCCTAGAGCCCATGCTCCACACCAAAGAGAAGCCACCACAATGAGAAACCCACACTCCACAATGAGGAGTAGCCCCCGCTCGCCGCAACTACAGAAAGCCCGCATGCAGCAACGAAGACCCAATGCAGCCAAAATAATTAATTTTAAAAAAATTCAACCATCATTTCTACGTCTAACTTCTCCAAAACCTCTCTATAGAGCATCTTTTAAACTTCTGCTGGTAGTATTCTCACCAAAAATGCATATCCTAATTCAAATCATGAGAAACACTTAGGCAAACCCAAATTGAAGGACATTCTACAAAATATTAATACCTGCCCTGTACTCTTCAAAGTGTCAAGGTCATGAGAGACAAGGAAAGAATATGAAACTACCACATGACTGTGAAGGACAAGGACAGATTGGAGCAAACTAAGGAGGCATAGAAACCAACTGTAGGGCTTCTCTGGCGGCGCAGTGGTTGAGAGTCCGCCTGCCGATGCAGGGGACGAGGGTTCGTGCCCCGGTCCAGGAAAATCCCACATGCCGCGGAGCGGCTGGGCCCGTGAGCCATGGCCACTGAGCCTGCGCGTCCGGAGCCTGCGCTCCGCAACGGGAGAGGCCACAACAGTGAGAGGCCCGGGTACCGCAAACAAACAAACAAAAAAAACACCCAACTGTAACATGGGATCCTGGAACATAAGAAGAAGGGCACTGGTGGCACAACTGATGAAATTCAAATCAGCTCATCAGTTAACAGCACTGTACCAATGTCAATCCCCTGGTTTTGCTAACAGTACTATGTTCCTGTACAATATTAACACTAAGAGAAGCTGGGTAAAAGGTATACAGGAAGTCTACTATTTTTGAACCTTTAAGTCTAAAATTAGTTCAAAATTAAAAGTTAAAAAAAAAACTTCTAATGTTTCCCAGAAACAACTAAGTCTGGTTATAAAAAGAAAGAAATACAGAATATGGTCAAAAGATAGCACAAATTGTTCTAGAAGTTCCACTGGGAAAATACCGTTACACATTAAATTTGGTATAATATACAGTTACTCTGCCAGATACCTGAATGCATAAAGAGAGATAGCTCCATTATGACAAATAGCTGAGTAATCTATATTAAATGTTGTCTATCTAGTAAATAAACATTGATCTAAGAAGCTTTTTGTTCCAAACTATAGAAACTTCCCCAGTGAGATGAAACAGTCATAAATTAATAAAAGGACATTTTTAAAAAAGCAAGGAAATAAAAATGCATAATAGGCGGTGAAATGTGTGTTGGAGCTGGAAATCAACAGAAAACAGAGGATTAATTTCCTTTTCCAAGGAGAGTACTCATCATTCCCTACTAATACAGTATTATATTCCAAAGATGTGAAGCAATGAAAATCCCACTGGGTTAGAAGTGCATTGTAACCATGACTCCCCAAGACCCCCGTGTCTCCCCATCATCTGCCCTAAAATCCTGACAACTTATGAGAGGTGTGGTCTCCCTGTGATCTGCCCACCCACCCCAGTCTGGTGAGCGCTGCTCTCTGACATCTGCCTTCACAACACATCAGCGAGGAAAACGTCTGGAGTAATTCACCTAAGTAAGTATGGAGAAATGAAGAGACCGAGGCTAAGGTCTGAGGTCTAGAAGTCAGCAGCCACTCTCCAGCTCACGTACTGACAGGCAGAGCTGCTGCAAAGGGGGAAGAAAACTTACCCTTCCAGTGAAAGAGAGAGTGATGCAGGAAGAGAGGGTTACAGAAAGGGTGAGGGTTAGGAATGTAGACACGTGGCAAGAAAGAAAGCAAAGCAGACGACAACAGGAACAGGAGAGAAAATAAGGCGAAGAAGGGACTTCCCTAGTGGTCCAGCGGTTAAGAATGCGCTTTCGGGCTTCCCTGGTGGCACAGTGGTTGAGAGTCCGCCTGCCGATGCAGGGGACACAGGTTCGTTCACCAGTCCGGGAAGGGTCCAGGAGGATCCCACATGCCGCGAAGCGGCTGGGCCCGTGAGCCATGGCCGCTGAGTCTGCACGTCCAGAGCCTGTGCTCCGCAATGGGAGAGGCCACAACAGTGAGAGGCCCGCGTACCGCAAAAAAAAAAAAAAAAAAAAAAAAGTGCACTTCCACTGAAAGGGGGTGGCGTGGATTCAATCCCTGGTCGGGGAACTATGATCCCGCATGCAGCATGGCCAAAAAATAAATAATTTTTTTTTAAAAAGGAAAATAAGGCAAAGTATACTGGGAATGAAAACATCACTCAGATTTCAGCCCTCAGTTGTTAGGGTGCCTTCCCGCACCTTCGGATTGTCAATAATTGGGGTGATGACAAGATCTGAGTCTGTGTAGATAAGCTCTCTCATCCGGGTCTCCAGGTCCTGCTGACTCAGGTGTCCACTTGTAATCTGAAACAAGAACAAAAATTAGACCCGGTTTCTGTGACTAGTGAAAAGCTTTAAGAGACGGAGCTAGTAACATGCTGAGTAGACGCCACTGAAAAAAGTCACCTGTATCAATGGACCTCCACTGCTATTCAAAACACTTCCACAGACAGTCTCATCAGATCTTCACAAAAATCCGAAATCTAGTGTATCATTATTCCCATTTTTACAGATGAAGAAAACAAGGCTCAGAGAAAGTAACTGACTTGCTCGTGTTTACCACAATAGCTGGTTAGAACTAGAAAACAGATCGTCTATAGTTTGATGTTCTAAACTATGATGAGACAAATTGGCCTTTCAATTACCAGCATGGTTGTTATCTTTCACCGACCAAAAATTAATCAGCTTATTTCTGCTTTACAGAATATTCAATATGAAGTTTAAATTACAGCATAAAAAAGTTTCAAGCTTTAGTACTGACCTGTTATATAAGTATTAAACACCCGTATCTTTACAAATCCTAGTTAAAGCGGAATTGACACATAATGAAAATAACTAGATGTTCCCCATAAGTTATTCAAGATGTTTCTTTGTGCTCTCCTTAAACTCAACTTTTTTTTTTTTTTTTTTTTTTTTTTTTGCGGTACGCGGGCTCTCACGGCTGTGGCCTCTCCCATTGCGGAGCACAGGCTTCGGACGCGCAGGCTCAGCGGCTACGGCTCACAGGCCCAGCCGCTCCACGGCATGTGGGATCTTCCCGCACCGGGGCACGAACCCTCGTCCCCTGCATCGGCAGGCGGACTCTCAACCACTGCACCACCAGGGAAGCCCAAAACTCAACTTTTATTCCTAGTGCTATGTATGCCTTAGTTATTTCACATCAGACAAAAAAAAAAAAAAAAAATAGGATTTATGCATTAAGAACTTCCACTGAAACTTTGACCGAAAAAATGCTAACCAGAAAATTAAATCAGTGAAGTGAAAAGTAAGTAGAAAAAGAAATGATCCAAAACTAAGGTAAGGGACAGAATAATTAGCTAACAAAGTTCCTGGAAACCACAACAACCCTTCTTCAACTTAGAAGACAGACATATTAAAAACACATGAAGAATAAATAAGGAGGAACTTTTGTAAAAAAATATGTTAAAGAAAATTTAAGAACATGGACTTTCAAAACAGATAAACTTGAAAGAAAAGCCAAAATGAAGTCAACTGAAAAACTTTTACAATAATCTAAAAATGAGTAAGGTAGACCAATTAGGAAATTTTATGTAGAAATTAATTTCATATACATAAAGTGAATGTATGCACAAAAACAGGTTATAAAAATACAATATCCCATTCACAACAGCAAAAAATAAGCTGTTAAATAAAATGCTCAGGAATTAAACTAATCAAAAATTGCAATGAGGTCCTACATATTAAATGAAAAAATTAAGTCATAAAATTATGTTCCCTTGTTTATAAATGAACAAATAGGGGCTTCCCTGGTGGCACAGTGGTTAAGACTCCACCTGCCAATGCAGGGGACACGGGTTGGAGCCCTGGTCCGGGAAGATCCCACATGCTGCGGGGCAACTGAGACCGTGAGCCATAACTACTGAGCCTGTGCTCTAGAGCCCGTGCTCTGCAACAAGAGAAGCCGCTGCTCACCACAGCTAGAGAAAGCCCACGCGCAGCAACAAAGACTCAACGCAGCCAGTAAACAAACTTAGAAATTTATTTTAAAAAAATTTTAAAACGTAAGCTCCCTTATATAATGAGTGCTTAAATATTCTAAATAAAATAATTACATACACTCCTCTACAATAAACATCTGGCAGAAGAAATTCAACATCTATCGCATTTCAGAATGCATTTTTTACTTTTACACTGATTTTCTATCTCACATATAACCCAACAATTATTAGCACAGTGAGATTTTATTACAACCTATTTACATTTCATTTCAATACAAAATTAAGTTTCACATGGTTCGAATGCATTTCACATTACATAAAAAATACAGCAACAACTGCAATAAGTACAATAAATGACAACTTGGTAAATTTTTTACTTCAGAATATTTCTGCATTCAAAAAAACTATGATTGAAAGAAATTAAAGAATAACTAAATAAATAGAAAGACATCCCATGTTTGTGGAAGAAAACTTTATATTGTTAGCATGGCGATACTCCTCAAATTGACCTAGAGATTCAACACAATTGCTGTCACAATCCCAGCTGGCTTCTTTGCAGAAACTGACGAACTGATCCTAAAATTCATATGGAAATGCAAGAGACTCAGAATAGCCAAAAACAGAAAACTCTGAAAAAGAACGAAGTCAGAAATCATACTTCCTGATTTCAAAACTTACTAAAAAGCCACAGTGATTAAGACAGTGTGCTAGTAGCATGACGAAAGACATATCAATCAATGGAATAGAACTGAGAGCCCAGAAGTAAACCTTCACATTTATAGTTAATTAATATTCAACAAGAATTCCAAGACATTATTTAATGTCTTGGGGAAAGAAGACCCTTCTCAACAAACGGTGCTGAGGCAACTGGATAACCACATGCAAAACAAAGAAGTTGGACCCCCTACCTCGTGCCATATGCAAAAAGTAACTCAAAATGGATTACAAACCTAAATGTAAGAGCTAAGCATAGAAATAAACCTTTATGACCTTCGAGTAGACAACTGTTTCTTAGTTATGTCACCAAGAGTACACAGGCAACAACAAACACACAAAAAATATAATTTGGTCTACATCAGAATTTAAAACCTTTGTGCTTCAAAGGACACCATCAAGAAAGTGAAAGGACAATTCACAGAACAGGAGAAAATGTTTATAAATCATATATCTGTAATATATAAAGAACCCCTACAACACAATAATGGGCAAAAGGTTTGAACAGACATTCTTCCGAAGAAAATATACAAATGGCCAATAAGCACATGAAAAGATGCTCAACATCATTAGCCAACAGGGAAATGCAAATTAAAATTACAGTGAGATATAATTTCACACCTACTAGGATGGCTGTAACCAAAAAGAGACGATGCAGCACTATTCACGATAACCAAAAGGTTCAAGCAACCCAAGTGTGCATCGAAAGATGAATTAATAAATTGGTACATACACACAATGGAATATTATTCAGACTTAAAAAGGAATTAAATTCCTGATACATGCTACAACATGGATGGGTCATGAAGACATTATGCTAAGTGAAATAAGCCAGATACAAAAGGACAAATATTGTATGATTCCACTTATATAAGGTTACTAGGCAAATTCATAGAAGCAGAAAGTAGAACAATGGTTGCCAGCGGATGGGGTTGGGGGGAGGGATGGGTAGGGGGGAATGGATAGTGGTGATGGTTACATAACAGTGTGAATGTACTTAATGCCACCAAACTGTACACTTAAAAATGGTTAAAATGGTAAATTTTATGTAATGTGTATTTTATCACAATTTTTTAAAACACATAATAACAAGTTTTGGTGAGGATGTGCAAAAATTGGAACCCTCATACACTGGTGCTGAGAATGTAAAATGGTACAGCTGCTTTGGAAAACAATTTGGCAGTTCTTCAAAAGGTTAAACAGTTACCATATGATACAGCATAGAACACACACCCACACAAAGATGTACACAAATGTTCATAGCAGCATCACTCAGAATAGCCAAAAGGGGAAACCCATCCAAATATCCACAAATGGATGAATGGAAAAATAAAATGTGGTATATACAACGGAATATATTGGGTAGTAAAAAGGAATATAGTATTGATACATGGTACAATTTGGATGAATCTTAAAAACACTACATTAAGTGAAAAAACCCAGTCACAGAAGATCACATATTGTATGATCCCATTTATATGAAATGTCCGGAAGAGGCATATTTATAAAGACAGAAAGTAGATTAGTGGTTGCCTCAGGCAAGAGGGTAGAGAGACTGGAAGAAAACAGGAGTGACTGCTCATGAGTACAGGGCTTCTTTGCAGGATGATGAGCATTCTAAAATTGACTGTGCTGATGACTGCATTAGCTCTGTGACTAGGCTAAAAGCCCCTGAATCATACACTTTAAATGGGTGAACTATATGGTGTGTCAATTATATCTCAATAAAGCGGTTATCAAAAAAAACACCTATGAAGCACCTCTCTCTCAAGAGTACTTACTAGAAAAACCAGTGATAATCAAGGAAGATGACTTAGTTGTGAATTTTGCAATTAAAAACATAGTTCAGAGATTAACTTGCAATTATTCTTCTGAATCCCTGTATCCTACGTAAAAAGAAAAAAGAAAATTCCATCTCTGCTTACTTTGGTCAAGGGAGAAGTCTTCTGTGGTGAAATTTGAGTCATAGCCTCACCAGGATTTAATGCCACTGCAGTGCTAGTTCTTGGAGTCGGACGAGAACTGAAAAGTGCACACCAGTTAACATTACTCACATTTCAGAAACTTTATCCTGTTTACCATTTTCTGGGTTAAAAAACACATCTCATGAAAAACGGTAGAATATGATGATTCTATGTGATCTCATTAGATTTTAAAAACTTTAAACTCTAATTTGTGTTTATGACACTAATTTTTTTAAACTGTTTTCAAAGTAATTTCCTGGGTAATTGTTTTTTTTATTTATTATATATTTATATATATAATATATAATATATATATATTATATATAGAATAATATACAGTATTTTCTGTTTTAACCAGAAACCTAAAAAGAAAGATTTTATTTTTTTAATGTCTGCTGATCTAGGCAGGATTAACATAATAAAATAGAATATTCTACAAAGCATAGACAAGGTTTACAATTTTATTTCATAAAATGTTTGAAATGGAAAATTACCTTGGTACCCACTTAAGCAACAAGTTATATTCTGTATCTATTTTTAATGATTCCTCCTACACTTATCAATGGCTGCCATACTCTGTGAACCACTCCATTACACCCAGGTCTCTGATTTTGAGTTTTCTGCATTTTATGAAATTCTTCCATTCAGATCATTATGGTCTCTTTTGATGAATTCCTTCAAATTTCCAAATATCACCCCTCCTTCATTCACTTGACTTTTTATTCATTCATTAAACAAGGACTTACTTAGGTCATAAAATATACCAGAGATTGTACAAATTTTTTTTTAAAAAACTGAATTTAAAATGCCTAAGATATGTATAAATAAATTTAACATGCTTTATATTTAAATATGAGTAAAACAAACCAGGAAATTTTAGTTTATCATTATAACCCCTGTGTCATGAAATTAAGCTATTTATCTATGAAACTAAAACTATAAATAAAATATAACACAATATTTACACATTAATAAAATTTTAAATACACTGGTCTTAATCACTTTAAATACCATTCTGATTTTATTATTTCAGTGATTGCAAATATTGTTTAAGCCTCCCGGATAAAGCGACATTTAAATAAAAACACAACCTGTTTTCTATAAGTCTTTATCTAAATGAAGCTGGAGTTCAGAAATTTTAAATTCAATTTTATTTGAAGTAGAAGTACAAAATGAAAAAGTTTCAATTAACCCTTATAAACAGGAAAAATAAGGTGGTTTGGTTAAAATTTTTTAAAAAATACATAGCGACGTCTACATTCCATTGGCCAGCACTTAACAGTAACTTTGAAAGTAGAGTGAGACTGGAATTCGCATTTCTCCCCGTCCTTTATTTCTGTATAACATGGTTTACCAGCCAGACAACAGACACTTTAAGAAGATTTCACTTGCATCTCCCACGGATCCCTTTTTGCTCTGTCATTTTACATACCTGAGAAGAAACATGGACTCATTCAATGGACCCCCAAGAGTGCTCTTAGGCCGCAACTCAGATGGATTTTCTGTGGCAGGAAGGTAAAACAATATCCATCGATGAACAAAAACATGAGCAGGGCACGACGTACACAGAGATTTAAAGAGAAAGGCAACACAAATTAGGAACTCTCAGAAATAGCACTCTGAGCTCAAGAGCGCCCAATGAAAGCTCACCTAGTCTGAAGGACTGACCGGGCTGCTCACCACTCTCCTCCCCTTTTGCTTGTCCACAATGAGGGCTCTTGAGAAGCTCCTTGGAATCTTGTGACCCAGAATACTCCAGGTTTCTGCTGTGCAACGATAGAAACCCAACACAATCAAGCTTACTACTGAGCTTTCTGTAGGGTTTTCTCTGTCAAACAAGAGGTCGGAAAAGATACTTAAACTGCACAGGACATTTGGCAAAACTATTGAGTTAGAGGGAGTTCCCCTGGTGGTCCAGTGGTTAGGACTCCACTCTTTCACTGCCAGGGCCTGGGTTCAATCCCTGGTCGGGGAACTAAGATCCTGCAAGCTGTGTGGTGTGGCCAGAAAAAAAAAAAAAACAACTAGTGAGTTATGAAAGTAATATTTTTCATTGAGTAGCTAAAATGAGCACTTACTACATGGTAGGTACTGTACTAAGAAGCCTATAAACCTTATCCCTGAAAAATAAGTAACAGCAGGCAGATCGGAGAAGTAAACCATAACTCAAGATATCAGTGAACCAGTACTGAGTTTCCCTTTTTTTTCCCTTCCAGCATTGTTCGACCTGGACTCAAAAGCAGTGAGTAGAGACAGGAGCCCCAAGAGAAGCCCTCCATTTCTGTTCCAAGGAACAGGAAAGGGGACCCCTAAGGGTCAGCACAGTGGAAACACCCTAGTTTTTTGTTTGTTCTTTTGCTTTTGCTTTTTCCATTTTGTCCTTCCCCAGCCTGCAGATAATCCTGCAGCAGCTACAGGGGACAGCAGCTGCTTCTGGCCAGTGCCTAAAACCCTGAAGGAGGAACATTCTCTTCTCTAGCCAGAGAGTTATGACCCCCAAGAATGTGAAGCAAATCCCTGTCGCTCTGTTCTCTTTTTCTCCTCTCTCCTTGTCCTACTGCTACTTGGTCCCAAACACATCCATCAAGACATAAAAACTATAATACACCATGACTAAGTGGGGTTTATTGTGGGAAGGCAAGGCTGCCTCAATATATGAAAACCAATTTATGTAAGAGTCCATAATGAGAGTCTAAAGAAGAAAACCCACATGATCATATCAAATGATACAGAAAGAATGACAAAATTTAACATTCATTCAAACTGAAAAAGGGAAGCTACAAAAACCTCCAGCTCATCATATTTAACAAGTAAAGGCTGAATGCTTTCATTCTAAAATGAGAAACCAGGCAATGTGTTCATTTTCATCACTCCTCATTCATTACCCTACCGAAAAAGTCCCAGCAAGGGAAGTAAGGCAAGAAAAAGAAATAAAAGGCATACAGATTAAAAGGAAGATGACAAACTAAGGTGAAAGGTGTCCTGGGATTTGCTGACACTGATGGACCAGGTCCTAAGCCCAGGTTTCTGTACTTTTCAGAGAGTCTAATACAATGTGAAAACATAGTTGAAGCTCAATGGATCACAGAAACCGAAGTTTGGGAGAGACCTTAAATAGAATTCAGACTTCTCTATCCAATACACTGAATTTACAAGATTAAAATTAAGAATCAGACAACCACTTACCATCGAATGAATGAAGGAGAGGGGGAGTCAATTATCAGGACTTTGCCTCTATTCACCTACTTCTCACCTTGTTCTTTTCAAAATGCCATCATTTTGGGACTTCCCTGGTGGTCCAGTGGTTAAGAACCCACCTTCCAACGCAGGGGACACAGGTTCAATCCCTGATCAGGGAACTAAGATCCCACATGCCGTGGGACAACTAAGCCCAGGCACCACAACTGCTGAGCCTGTGCACCACAACTAGAGAGAAGCCTGCGCGCTGCAACGGAAGATCCCACATGCCACAACTAAGACCCAACACAGCCAAAAATAAATTAATTTTTTTTAAATACCATGACTTTTATAACTGTCCTGGGCTAAAAAGATTTTATAATAAAAGTGAAGTGGATTAGTCAGGATGAACTAGGTTATATTGTGGTAACACAAAATCCACAAATCCTAGAACTCAGAATCTCCTAGCTTTATGTCTCACTCAAGCACATAGCCACTGAAGGCTGGCAGGAAAGCTATGCTCATCATGGTCACTAAAGACCCAGCCTGACAGCAGCTCCACTTGGACATTTCCTTCCCAATTACCTCATCAAGAGAAAGAAATGTGGCACATCACACAGTGGCTCTTTGAGTTTCTATCCAGAAATAACACAGGTCACTTCTGCTCACATTTTATTAACCAAAGCAAGTCACATGACTGCACCTAACTTGAAAGGGGAAATGAGATCCTACCATGTGCTGACAAGGTGGGAAGCCAGCTGAACACAATGAACAAAAACTAATGACGACCATACTAAATCCCTGCCTGGATAAACAATTGACCAGAAAATGAGCAAAATCAAGAACACAAAATGCTCTAAGCTCTTTAAGCATGACTAAGCTCTTTAAGCAAAACCCTTAATTAAACACATGCTTGATTTCCTCCTATTATGAAGGCATAGAAGTTCATGTCATTGATGCTGCAAAAACAGAATAGCAAGGGTACAAGTGTTTAATAACCATGCCCCACACACAAAAATAAGCTTATACTACCTGACACTGGAATCCTCGTTGCTTGAGTCCTGATCTTTTCTAGTGAAAGCATCCTTCCAAAATGAATGCTGCAGTAGTCCTGCCCAAGTTAATCTTTATAAAACATAAATGTTAAAAATCTATTTTAACGTGATTTACCATGGAGAATTCCCAGGACATGCCCCAGTTACATACATCAGATTTGTTTCACACATTCTTTTTGGAACTTCACTTTTAGAACTTCATTCAGAAATAAAGAAGATTATCAACCTCATGACTACCCAGAGTCACGCTTCTCTTTAGAAGTCAAAACGTTATCTAACTAGTTCACCCACTTTAAAATGACTTCAGGCCATATTTAAAACCCAGACTCACTATCAAAGCATCAAATTTTACTACTAGTAGATTGTACCTGCGGGGAATTCCCTGGCACTCCAGTGGTTAGGATTCCATGCTTCCACTGCAGGAGGCACGGGTTCAATCCCTGGTTGGGGAACTAGGATCCCACATGCCGCAGAGGTGGCCAAAAAATAAATTAATTAATTAAATAGATTATACCTGAGGTATACTCAAACTCAGAATGATTAAGCTCGACTAAAATTTTAAAACAAAAAATTTGTATCTGATTCATTTAATCGTTCAAAATTTCCATACTGAAATAAAAACTACCTTGATCAAAATTAAAACACAAATGTAAAAGAGAGAATTTGCAACCACATATAATGTTCCTTTTATACAAAGGGCTCCTAAAATTCACTAACAATTAAAATTACCAATAAAATGGAATTTTTTTCATCCATTAGATTAGCAAAAATTTATAAGATCAACAAAACCCATTGTAGGTAACAATGGGGGGGAAGGAAATTTCTAATGCTGGAGGTATAAACCCACCCGTGTTCCTAGGATGCAGCAAATGTGTCAAACTTTTTACTGTTCTTAGCCTTTGGCCAGCAACCCCACCTTAAGAAAATTATCCAAAGGTGATAACTGCCTAAGTGAACAACAACAAATAAAATAGGATATTTACTGTAGCAGTCAGTGTATATGATATTCCAAATCAAGAAAAGTCTCAATGTTGTTATTACAGGTTGTTACATGTACATTCAGCAGCCATTTAAAATAACCAAGCAAATATATAGAGAGAAAAAGACTAGATTATGGGGTGGTCTCATGTATGCAAAAAAGTATTTAATATGGGATATAAATATGTGGAAATTTGTCCTAAATAAATCCTAAATAAAGTAAGTTAAATTAAGTATATTTATATCTTATCCAAATATGTCTGGGAAGGTATCCGCTAAAATAACGTTGATCCTAAAAGCATTCTATTGTAAGCATAGGAGTGTCTTACAACTTATACGAGAATCAAGATTTTCTTCTGCAGTTTTTCAGTTATATTTAATGAAGATACATTACATGCTACACTAAATTTATTCTTCATTTTATATCCTGAAGCAGAGACCCCAAATGCTTGCCTAAAACCCCTAGATACCTAGTGGCAGAACCAGAACCTAGGTTCTCTTGTCTCTCAGGCCAGGAAGACCCCCTCTTCACTCCCCACTCCCTCCTGCCCTCCCCCACTCCACACCATAAGGATTTCTAACTTCCTGCCATCCCTGCAACACAGAAAATTCACACTGTGCCTATTATCCTGTCACTTGATATTCCCAGTATGACAGGATTATCATAAATCACATCGCATTGAAAACATTGCTCAGTTAGTCGTTATTACGTTAAGTATTTGGACCATGTCATCCGTAGTTGAGTAGGCTAAGACAGTCGGGGGGGGGGACAAAAAAAAAAAATGTACCTCTTGGATTTGGGAGTTACAAGAAAATCTGTGAACCTATGAGGCGACTATTTGCTACATTAAAAGTTAAAATTCCTCATGATTAAAAACACCTGTAAACCGAGAGCAGCCCCTCAGTGTAAACTCAGATTTCTTTTTTTTTCAAAAAAGATAATTTGAACAGTTCTTTCTATATTAAGACCAGTACAGTGTTAGAAGTACACTAAAGGCAAAAAGGATTCCAGTCTCTATTCATGTTAAAGTACTACCCATACATACCTTTTCTGAGGATCTTTTTGAAGTAAACCATCAAGCAAATTAATAAAATCTGAAGAAGCTTTAGGACGAGAAGAATCTATACACAAAGTAATACCCAAAAAAGAAAAAAAGTGATAAGTAGCTGAAAACACACCCTACATCAACATCATAATAAAAGTATTTTAAGCACATAAATTATTTTTAAGAGAACACTGAATACATAGTAACAATTACAGTCTTCATTTAATGCCAGGAGAGGGATGGGGGGGGCAGGACACAAAAATTAAAAACTTTTCCCTGGACCACAAAAAATATGAATCTCAAAAACTAAGCTCTGACTAACCTCTAAACTTTCTCTTTACTGAACAACCCCAGTAAGGACCACCAGCTTGACAAACTCATACCCTTGGTCTTCAACTATTAATTATGCCTCATTTTCTGACCATTTTCTCTTAACTTGACCAGCTTTGCTTTATACTATACTATGATTAGAGTACTTGCAATCTCTCTTTAAAGATTTTTAACAGGAAAATAACCATCACAATATTATGACAATGTCCAATTCCATTAATCTCCAAGTGTTTTATCTTTTTATATTAGAAAGATACATACCACGGTCAAATTATCAGTCTATCATTAAAAGAAGTGGCCATGAAGATAATGGCCAAAGCCATCAGAACAGATGGTGCTATCAGGCACTGTGGCCACAGTCTGATCAAGATCCCTGTGAAATAATTACACTTAGGCCAAAGTGGTATCTTGACCAGACCTTTGATATCTTCATTCTCAGATTTCTCTTCCCTACATAAAAATCTTTAACTTATTAGGAGAAAACAATACTCAGTACTATGAGTACTTAAAACAACAACAACAAAAATCAGAAGTCATCATTATAGGAGACAGGAAGGACTGATTTCTACGAAAACTAAAATAAAGTTAATAAAAAAGAAATGCTTTTTGTTTTAAGAAACATAGACCATTTGCAAAATATCGAGAGTTGTTTTTTCACCTAGGATGATTCTTAAAATACTGAAGATACTCTGTATTTCTATTCTTTCCATTAATTACTGAGGATTTTTTTCTTTAAAAACTCACAACCTTATTTTTCATAAAGTCCTGTTTTCATCTTTGTGACTTAAGATCTACATCTTTTGAGGTGTGTAACAAAGTGTTTTATTATGTTTGTACCTTCTTTTTCTTTTCTTAAAATTGTTAATGGTAGACTTACATTAATTACACTTTGTATGATTAAATTGCCAACACTTTAAAAATACAACCATATCTAGCTTAAAAGACTTTAAAAGCTTATCTGGGTAGCATTCTGATTCATCAAGGACTGAGAAACACCTGATTTGTTCCTATTCAAGCACTAAAAAGAAATAACTACATGGGGCATGACTACACATTAAGTAAATGGTACATACACATGAACACACCAAGACATAAAAGTTTGAGTTTCTTAAATCTTTGAACCAGACTTCTTCTGATATAGGAGCACAAGATAATTTGTATTTTTAAATGAGGGAAAGTCTTAGTAGTACTTTGTTTTCCATTTCAGTATCTTTTTTAAAATGGCCAAAGGAATGCTAGCCTTTCTAAAAATATCAATTTGTGACTATTTAGAAAATATAAATTTGAGGGGTTATGAATCAATAAAAACACACTTTGGGGATAAAAGTGCACCTTTAGTCCACGTAAGAAGTAAATTAACTGCATTTATAATAAAAACATCCTACCTTTTGGAATAGGTGGCAAAGGATCTTCATAAAAAATCTTTTCAACTAATTCTGAGAAACTTTCTGAGAAGAACGGAGGTTTTCCTGAAATCATGTGAAAACGTGCAAAATTAAACAACAGTTTGCTGTTACCAATAATTCTTAATAAATCTCAACTACAGATAGTTCAGGATTGCATAATTTACAGGAAAAAATATGTATATAGCAATAACTAATTATTGAATGCCTAGTACATACCAGGCACACTGTCTATATATTTTTATAGTTGTGTAATTCAAAATTTATCATCCTAACAAATACAAAATTCACTTATGGACAACCATGATCCAATGGCTACATGGGCCACCGGATACATCTGATAATTCAGTCACAGGTACCTTTACAAGATTTTCTACTAATAATCAGTTAGACACATTAGTTTGGCATATTTCAACATTCCAAATGATTATCATGAAAAATACCTCCATGTCAAAAGTTCCTACAAATCTGCATATGCCTAGACACCAAGCAAGTCAGCCAAAATCAGTACACAGAAAATTTTAGGAAAACTAGCTTTTTCACATCTTATAGGTAAACTCTTTGAAAACTCCAGATGTAACCTTTGTGTGTGTGTCCAGCTCTGATTTTAAACTGAACCAGAAAGTAATCACCTGAAAACATTTCATAGAGCAGGCAGCCCAAGGACCACAGGTCACTGGTAATGGAGAAGTCAGTACCCCTCACAATTTCTGGAGCTGTATAGATAAGAGATCCTAAGAACATGGGAGAAAGGTCAGCTTTGTTAGGCATTTGTCCTGTTCCCAACACAAATCTACCTAGGAGAGACCAGGTGAGGTGAAAAAAGATGGGAGAACACGCACATAAATATAATTTCATGCATATTTCACATTTTTTTAATGTTTTCTAATATTAAGGTCCCACTTCCCAAGAATATGTGGGAATATATAAAAATACAAAGATTTTGAATATTCACCCGGGTAAGAGGTGTGGCACATTGAGGTGCATTCTTTTTTTAAATTAACAATTCAAAGAGTTGAAAGAAAAGAACCTTTGACTGTAGTATTTTGAATAGGATAGGTTAAGTTATGCAGCAGTAAGCACCCCAAATTCCCACTGACTTAACCACACAGGTTTTCTTATAACTGAAACTACATGTCCCTCACAGGTCAGCCAAGGGGCCCCGACCCTCACAGTCAGTCCATCCAAGACCCAGGCTTCATTTCAACCATGCTACCTCAATCACCAAGGCAGGGGCAAAGAACATAGCAAATTAAACACTGGCTCTTAAAATTCCCAGAGACTCTTATCACTTCTGCACACACTTGGTGAGCTTTGGCAGGGAAGACGCAATCCTACCATGTAACCAGAAGAGGAACAGAACAGGACCTATTTGGTGAACAGCACTAGTGTGTATCATGTACACTTGATACAGAGTTTAGTATTACATAGAAACACCAAATTCTAGAGATAGAAAGTTCCCTTGCTTACTTATGAGAGCAGCTGAAGCCTGGAAGGTACGAAAGAACATCCTCTAAGTCACAGAGCTGGGCAGTAACAGAGCACTCGCCAAAACCCACAGCCTCCCATCTTCCAATGAGAATGTTCTTACCATGAAGTGAGTAATCACCAATCCCTTGGAAAAGAGGTTAATGTGCGCCCACCATGGGGACTGTTCTTAGATTAAGCTCAGAAGTAATCGAGTGTCACTGCTAGAAACTCTGACATTTCTTCACAACACAGCCCTCTTCCCCTTACGAAAGGGGAAAATTTCAAATACACATTCCTGAAACATATTGCCCTCCTTGTTTTCTATATAAAAGCATAGTCCATAATACTCATTTTCATAGGATGCCAGTCAACCCATGGAACGATATTTGGGGATTTAGAAAGCCTTCTCCCTGAGCATGAAATCTTACAAGACTGGCCCTGCAAGTTAAAGTTCCTTGCTCATATTTATGGGGCCTCTGTTAACCCGCTGCTCCCCCCGTCCCTTTCCCTCATTCCTCTCATCCACAGCCATATGACTACCAAGCCCAAGGATGCCACTCTCTCTCTCAGTGCCCTTTGCTTCCTGGTGAGTGTACCAGAGCTTCGGTGGTCCAAAGTCTCAAGTACATACACCAGGAACTTAAGGAAAAAAGATCTTTATCACTTCTATCAAAAGTTCTGGTATAAGAAATATGACTTCACACTCTCCCCTCAAGCACAGCAATCTAACAGCTCAGGCCCCATCTCACTGACAAAACCACCTCCCAAGGACACACCCTTAAAAATCTTCCTTACGGGCTTCCCTGGTGGTTCAGTGGTTGAGAACCTGCCTGCAAATGCAGAGGACACGGGTTCAAGCCCTAGTCTGGGAAGGTCCCACATGACGCGGAGCAACTAGGCCCGTGAGCCACAACTACTGAGCCTGCGCGTCTGGAGCCTGTGCTCCGCAACAAGAGAGGCCGCGACAGTGAGAGGCCCGCACACTGCGATGAAGAGTGGCCCCCGCTCGCCGCAACTAGAGAAAGCCCTCGCACAGAAACATAGACCCAACACAGCCAAAAATAAATAAATAAATAAATAAATTTTTAAAAAAATCTTACTTGCAGAAGAATATCAGCTGCTCAACAATGTTGAGTATCTCCTGAGCCACCAGTGTATGCCAGACACTGTTCTAAGTGCTGAGAATACAGCAGGAAGGGAGACAAAACCCCTCTCCTTATGTTCTAATGAGTCGTCAGTGATAAAGCTAAGGATAAGGCTTTGTGAGAGGTTCCCTGCGCCTCACACGGCATTAGAGCCACATGGAAAATGTAGACCCTGGAAAAAACCATCCATAAATCCAGACTTCTCCTGATCATTTTTAATACATTTTTTGACTGGCAACATAAAAGGTGGGCATTATCTCCTAAACACATGACTTGGGTGGCCCACAACTAGAGTTCTGACCTGGAAGCTCTCCACGTACCTTTGACTCTACTTTTCATGTTTTTCTTCAGTACATTTTCCCCGCTATCACCTCCTCCTCCTTCTTCTGCTGCCACCAATGCAAAGAACTCTTCCAAACTTTCACCTTCCACTTTGGCCAAGCAAAAATTACTAAACTTCAGTGTGCCAGGCCCTTCCAAGAGTATCTATAAAGGTTAAAAAAACAAATGTGTTTAGAAACAAATTCTATTCAGTTTGCATTTCCATCCGTACCTCTTATAATCTCACTATAGAACTCTGAGTATTGGTTTTCTCGCTTCATCACAACTCAGAAAATTAAATGCTTACAATTTTTTAAAAAAAGAAGCCAAAGAAACATAAATCCAACATTTGACTAGTAATAGAATCAAATATTAAATTGTCCCTTATCAGATGTAGATGAAAAAGACATCATTTAACCACAGAGGGAAACCTCAGTCTTTTGGGAAAGATAAAGAGGAAAGTATATGAAACAATCTATAATCACCTATTCTCAGTGACAGTTGAAAGAGGATTTGGAAGACCACCTGTCCTAGGGGTTGTTCATTCAAATGAGGACGTATGATTTAGGGTTAAGACTAGGGTGTTGAAGTTAGAGATCTAGATTTGAGACCTAGGTCCACCACTTACTGGCAGTCTGACCTGCAGACTTTACTTAACCTTTGTAAATCTGTCTCTTCACCTACAAAATGGAAAAAATGATACTTAACTCTTCAGACTGTTGTAAGGACTGAGGTTATACATGATGCAGAGGGCTTTTGACAGTGACTGGCATGTGTTAAGTGCGCAAGTCTGCTAATGTAATCTGTGATTAGAAGTTATCTGTTGATTGTTGAAATCATACCTTTATCTCTTCCTCCCTGGCAATGGATCAGGGGGCTTCTTGGTCCTTAAAAGCAATTTAAAGTTTACCCTCAACTTCTAGTCACAAATACTAATGATGTCAGTTAGTCTACAACAGTTACCTGTAAACTTTTTTTTTGAGCGCCTGGAGGCCTTGTTAAGAAAAACTACTAATCCCTACCCTGAGAGTTCCTGATTCAACAGGTCTGGGGTAGGGCCCAAGAACCTGCATTTCTAACAAGTTCCAGGTAATGCTGATGCTGCTGGTACAGGAAATACACTTTGAAAACCACCGGCAGGGGCCAGATAAAAATTTTAAGTTAGTAAATATTTTAGACTTTGCAAGCCGTAAGGCTTCTATCCTGACTATTCAACTCTGCAGCCACTGACAATACATAAATGAAAGGACGTGGGTGTTCCAGTAAAACTCCATTTACAGAAACAGTCATCCTGCTGGAACTCTGCCAACCCCAGTTCTAGAATAAAAGTTACCTTACTTATCAGCCTGAAGCTCCTAGGTTATAAAGAGCTGATACTAGACCTCATTAAAGAGCTCCCACACAGAGGTTGGTACGTTATAGCCTCTAGGCTTGTACAAGCATGAGCTAAGAGTGTTTTTTATGTTTCTGAACAGCTGAAAAAAATGAAAATAAGCTAATATCTCTTGACATGTGAAAATTACATGAAACTGACATTCCAGTGTCCATAAATAAAGGTTTATTGAAACAAAGGCACACCCATGTATTTACATATTGTCTATAGCTGCTTTCAGGGCTATAATGCAGTTAAGTGGTTACAGTCTTGACACAAGTATATGAATATTTCAACAAGAACTTCTATTTTTTATACAGAATTTTTACCGAGCTTTTTGTAGGTTTAATTAGGTTCTTATATAGATGGCCTAGAAAAATGTTTAACAAGGAAATATTCAACTATTCATTTCATTGTGTTCACATTAACAAAGGAAAAGAACTAGCAGCTAAGACCAGTAACACATACAATCCCTAAGAAAATGTCCTAAAAGTGTAACCTAAATATAATGCATAATCCTCACAATCTCCCTGAAATATCTACTTCCATATCACAGGCAAGAAAACTAAGGTAGAAAAGGTAACTTGTCCAGGGCCCACAGCTTCTAAATATCAGTGTTAATGTGGCTCAGACTCTAAGCAGGTTTTGTGACTCTACTACACTAAAGCACGTTTACTTATGGATAATTAGTTTTATCAGAAAAGAGAAATATTTGACCCATAATATCAGGAATCATACATACATAGCCAAGGATGTCATCATCAAACTAAAATAATGGCTCATAACTGTGTACTATAATTTAAGAGCAAAGAATCTTATTTTACAGATCTGTTGAGCTCATCATTCACCATATACCTCAAGAGCAATAATAATTACTCAAAGAACCCTGAAAGGAGGGGAGACTTCACTTTCTAAAAGCTACTTCAATGGGTAGCTAAATAGAAGCCTAAAATATAGTACAATGTACTTCCTTTTGTTTAAAAAAAGTGTTAACTTAAAATTTCAAGATGTTCTATATCAAAACTGTATCTAAAAATAAAAACACCTTTGAGGAAGCCCTATAAATTGAAACACAAACAGGAAATCAACTTTCATGAATTACCTTCCCAGGAGAAATGTCACAAAAGAGAATGCCAAGTTGATGAAGATGATGTAATCCAGTAATCAGGTCAATCCCAAATTCTCTTACAACATCTTCTGGGAGGTTTTCGTCTTGAGCAATAACCATTTCTAAGGAACCACCTGCAAGTTGATTAAAATCACCCACTTTAACCCACCAATATTACACAGTGCCTCTGGGAGGTTCCATGCTGGGACCTGAGCATTAAAACATGATCAAATCAGTATACCTGGACAGTCTGGCAGGGGAAACATACATGTTAACAAACAGTGGTCCAAGCACCATAATGGAAACCTCCACACTCCAGAGCCAGCTCAGGGAGAATGACTGCTCAGACTGTAAGAAGAGTCAATAAATAAGCCAGTGGGATGAAGGGAGAATCACTCTGGTGCTGTGATTTCTCACTCCAGATCCCTCAGGAAAGAAACAGTTACAAAAATTACTGTTAAATACTAACCTAAGCTGTGCACTTTAATCACACTGTGCAAAGTACAGTTATGTTTACTCCTGTGCAAAGTTAGGTCACATTCTACAAGAACTGCATAACAAAAAAAGGTGCTCTTCCTTAATAGTTAGAAAATCACAAACTCTGACGTACACCACTGATGAAATAAAAGGCCAATGGCAGACACACTGCAAATTCCATTTCTATACCCTACCAGGGTCCCACTCACATCTCCTACCATCTAAGTGCCAGAAACAAACCTTTTTTTTTTTTTTTTTAGGGTCAAGATTATAACAGGAGTCAAGTTCAGAGAAAGTGAAGTCTTAGCCAGCATCTGAAAGTTCAATCAGAATTAGTGCAATGAAGGTAGGAGTATTCTGGGGTCTGTTCATTTTGTTTGGCGGGTGAGGAACCATTCCAAACACAGGCATAAATTAGAGTTAGGCTATTACAATGGCCAGGGGTCACAAATAACAGCTGAAGCAAAAAGTAAAACATGTTGAGTGCCCTGATCACCTCAAAAGTGTGTACATCTCATGAAAGTAATTAAACCACAGACTTCTCCTACTGATTCAGAAAAATAAAATGCAAATAAATTATTCCAAATAACCTCTTTAATGATTGTTTTAAATTCTAAGTGCCAGTACATAGGAGATTCATCAAGCTATAAATAATTATATTTCATCTTAATATTTAATGATTTATTATTACTCAGTGTATAAAGAGAAGTACACTAACCATGGTACTTGTTACATTTTTTCCTAAAGACACTGAAACTGAAAGCCCAGATAATACAGTATCTATGTATTTAGTCACCTTTCTTCCAGTATATAGTCCTAGAAAGTTATAGCAAGCAAGAGCTATAACATGTTATCTCTAATTATTGCTAGGTAGTGGTATTTGTTGATTCATCTTTGTATTTTTCCATATTGCTTAAGTTTTTAAGAGCAAGTATCCTTTGCATAAAATTAAAAAGATAAGCACTTTATAAACTAATTAGCTAATAGCTAGTTGACCTAAAATACTGTTTTTACTGAATGGGAAAGCTTTTTTGATCAATAATCAATAAAAAATATTTCTAAGTGTTATATAGGTGATTTAGCATTATTTTATACCAAAGTAAAGTTAACCCCAAATTGAATTTTACATGTCTTCCTCTTACCAAACACCTTTGCCCTTTTCCAGTCCCTAATATCTATCAAGCAATAGGTGTTCAAGTTAACGTACTCAATAGTATCAACACTGCTTATATGTGTAATAGAAGAAAAATGGAAAATAGCAAAAACTACATCAGGGCTTCCCTGGTGGCACAGTGGTTAAGAATCCACCTGCCAAAACAGGGGACACGGGTTCGAGCCTTGGTCCGGGATGATCCCACATGCCGCAGAGCAACTAAGCCCGTGTGCCACAACTACTGAGCCTGCGCTCTAGAGCCCATGAATCACAACTACTGAGCCCACGTGCCACAACTACTGGAGCCCGCGAATCTAGAGCCTGTGCTCTGCAACAAGAGAAGCCAATGCAACGAGAAGCCCACTCACTGCAACGAAGAGTAGCCCCTGCTCGCCACAACTAGAGAAAGCCCACACACAGGAACAAAGACCCAACACAGCCAAAAATAAATAAAATAAAATAAATTTATAAAAAAAAACTACATCATGTTTTCTCAAAACTATATATTGTGGCTACAATCGTAGCACTTCTTACATGATCTTACCTGTGCAGAGTTCCACGACTAGCCAGAGATGATTACTGGTTTCATACCATTCATGAAAAGTTACAATATTCTTGTGTTTAATTTCATGGGTGAGACGAACCTATAAAAACACACAGCATTCACACTAAAATAAAAAAGTTCTTAAACCCTTGCACCTATTAAGAAACACCTAAATACACAACTGGGAAATAAATAAGAAAACACTGTATTTTATTCAGTGGAATTCTATACAGACATTAAGAATGATGGTTAGGGGCTTCCCTGGTGGCGCAGTGGTTGAGAGTCCGCCTGCCGATGCAGGGGACACGGGTTCGTGCCCCGGTCCGGGAGGATCCCGCATGCCACGGAGCGGCTGGGCCCGTGAGCCATGGCCGCTGAGCCTGCGCGTCCAGAGCCTGTGCTCCGCAACGGGAGAGGCCACAACAGTGAGAGGCCCGCGTACCGCAAAAAATTTTTAAAAAAATTTAAAAAAATTTTTTAAAAAAAGAATGATGGTTAGAAAGGCTGGTGACATGGAAAATGCTAATTCAATGTACAGTCTTTAAAAACAAACAAAACCTTGTACAAAAGTTTTGTGTATTTGTGTAAATTAACATCACAAAAGAATATTCATAGGAAAAATGACCAGAAGGTATACATCAAAATAGCTGCCATTATGAGTAGAATTACTCATGTTTTTAAATTCTTTCTACTTCTCGTTTTCTATCTCCTATATTAAGTACCCAGTACTTTCATAATCAGGAAAAAAGAAATAATTTTAAAGGAAACAAAAAAAACCTTTAAGTAAGAATAACCTAAAGGCTCAATAATACAATAATAGTTAAATAAGTTGTATATCAATAATTATTATTAGGCCAACATTAAAGTATTTGTTGAATTTCATAACATGGAAAAATGACAACGTTATAATGTTAAGTGAAAAAAGCAAGAAATAAAATTATGTAATACAATGATTAGAAAATTTTTTAAAAGCCCATAGAAAAAAAGACAAGAAACAAACCAAAAAGAACAATGATTGCCTTCGGGTGATACAACAATGCTGCTCTTTCGTTCTATTCAGTTTTCTATATTCTCAAATTTTCTATAATGAGTGTATTACTTTTACAATATTGAAAAGAACTCTCAAAGCCTTCTATTTTCTTTTTAAGCATATCCTTAGTGAATTCTAATATCAATTCACCTAGATTCTTAAAAGAGGAATGATTACAATGAACATACTGATCTTAAAATGTACATTTCCATTAGATTATAAGAATACTTAAGCACCAAAAACAAGAGTGAATTCAAAACTCAACAATAAAGATGCAAAAGCCTGTCCGTTTAAAAACGCTAAGTTGCTTCTGGAATTTTTGCTTTCTCCCTTTAAAAATCCCATTAAATATAGGAACTAAAACCACAAAAATGTGTGCGAACCATCAAGACTCAGAATTGCTGATGACTAACTTACCAAAGTGCTTTGCACCCTTGCTTTCTGATTTTCTTTAAAAAAAAAAAAAAAATTACAAATTCTACTGTCACTCAACACAGGCTAACGGGCCCATAATTAGTAGAAATACAGAGCTCCCTGTTTTAGAAATGGAATTTGGGGACTTCCCTGGTCCAGCAGTTAAGACTCCATGCTCCCAATGCAGGAGGCCTGAGTTCGATCCCTGGTCAAGAAACCAGATCCCGCATGCCTCAGCTAAAAAAAAGAAAAAAAGATCCCATGTGCCGCAACTAAGACCCGGCACGGCCAAATAAATAAATAAATATTTTTAAAAAAAAAAGAAATGGAATTTGGCACACTCTAGGAACAATTAGGTGGGCTCATACTGTACCAAAAATAAAGGAAAATGAATCTACATGACTTAGAAGACAGATGAGTAGAAAACCAAGCATCAGAGTGACCAAGAATTTGAAGAGCACCTTGTAATAGATCCCTAATATAAGGCCAAGAGAAAATGGGGAGAACCCTCAGTGAGCAAGTTTAAAGGGATCTCTGCTGATTCTGGCACAGAAAAGGGAAGGTTCTAGTGAAAAAATAAAAGAGGTACAGAAATCCCAACAGAATTCAGGCCACAGCACACCCCTCCGGACCCTCCCGTACACTCAATACATGCCAAGTACCCACTCTTCCAGACGCTGGGCTGCCAATCTCACCCTCCACACTCACCGCAACCACCCATCTGCAGCCTGCGCTGGCCAATGCAGGAGATACCGTGGCCAATACTCACCACAGATGGCTACTGTGCTCTTTTGAGGAGCAGTTGGTCTGAGATGGGATGAGCCCCAAGTGTAAAACACACACCAGATGCTCAACACTTAACATCAAAATTAGAAAAATATCTCGATAACTTTATACTGGTTGCACACTAAAATAATAATACCTTGTATATACTGGATTAAGTAATATATATTAATAAAATGAATTCCACTTATTTTTCCTTTTTCAACGTAGATACTATGAACTTTAAAATTAGATTTGTAACCACAAGGACTTCCCTGGTGGCGCAGTGGTTAAGAATCCACCTGCCAGTGCAGGAGTCACAGGTTCAATCCCTGGTCCAGAAAGGTCCCACATGCTGCGGAGCAACTAAGCCCACGGGCCACAACTACTGAGCCTGTGCTCTAGAGCCCGTGTGCCACAGCTACTGAAGCACGTGCGCCTAAAGCCCGTGCTCTGCAACAAGAAAAGCCACCACAGTGAGAAGTCCTTGCACCACAACGAAGAGTAGCCCCTGCTCACCGCCTAGAGAAAGCCCTCACACAGCAACGAAGACCCAACACAGCCAAAAATAAAAAATAAATAAAAATGTGTGTAACCCCCATTATATTCCTACTGGACAGCACTGCTACATTTTTTTTTTTTTTTTTCGGTACGCGGGCTTCTCACTGTTGTGGCCTCTCCCGTTGCAGAGCACAGGCTCTGGACGCGAAGGCTCAGCGGCCACGGCTCACAGGTCCATCCACTTCGCGGCATGTGGGATCTTCCCAGACCAGGGCACGAACCCGTGTCCCCTGCATCGCAGGCAGACTCTCAACCACCGCGCCACCAGGGAAGCCCTAGATTTTTTCTTTTTACTGATAACTGTATTCTCTCCAAAATCTCTTCCACACATCCTAGTCCATGACCACCACTCACTCACTTTCCAGCTCACTCGCCCTAGTACTGCTATTCCAGTTCAATTCAACCTTCCACACACTCTGCATACACCCAAGGCACTTAAGCAGACACAAACCACGCTGACTGAGCTACCTTCCACTGATGATTCCCAGTCTGGTCTGTTCTCCAGGTGACTAATTCACACCTTTTCTTTCCTCTTTTCTAGAACACTGCCTTCCCCTTCCCCCATCTCCTAACTGAAGACTTAGATTTTCACCTCAGAGAAATCCTAATCAGAAGAGAAATTCCTCATGTTCCCATCTCCGAATCTACCAACTACTGTGCACCTTGCCCCCCATATACCTGTCTTCCCTTAACTGTTCACACACCTTTCAAAAGCCAACACCTCCTCATGCACATGAGGATGGCTGTTTTAACAAAAACCAAACCAAACCAGAAAAAAAAAAAAAAAAAACAGAAAATAACAAGTGCCTGCAAGGACGTAGAGAAATGGGATCCCTTGCACATTGTTAGTAGGAATATTAAATGGTATACAGCCTCTGTGGAAAAGAGTGTATATTTCATGGGTTTGGACAAATATGTAATGACATGTATCATACAGAAGAGCTTCACTGCCCTAAAATCCTCTGTACTCCACCTATTCATCCTTCCCACTCCTCCCCCCGCCCCCCAAACTCTGGTAACTACTCATCGTTTTACTGTTTCCATACTTTTGCCTTTTCCAGAATGTCATATGGTTGGAATCATACAGTATGTAGCCTTTTCAGATCAGCTTCTCTTACCTAACAACGTGCATTTAAGGTTCCTGTGTCTCCTTGTGGCTTGATAGCCCATTGCTTTTTATTACTGAACAGTATTTCATTGCATATATGTAGCAGTTTGTTTATTCATTCACTTACTGAAGGGCATCTTGATTGCTTCAATTATGAATAAAGCTACTATAAACATGTGTGTGCAGGTTTTTGTGTGGCCATAAGTTTTCAACTCTTTTGGGAAAATACCAAGAGTTTGATTGTTGAATTGTCCAGAACTCTTTCCATCTTGCAGAACTGAAACTTTTTACACATTAAACAATAATTCCCCATTTCCCCTTTCCCTGGCCTCCGGCAATCACCTTTGTACTTTGTTCCTGAAAGATACCTCGTATAAAATGGTGATGGCTACACAGCAATATGCATGTATTTAATATCAAACTGTATACTTAAAAATGGTTAAGATGATACATTTTATTTTATGTGTATTTTACCGCAATAAAAAAAAATGTTGGGAAAAAAAAAAGCTAGGTTTGGTCCAAGGAGCCTGGGCTGTAAAGCTGGTACAGCTATTGCAAACCCAAGTCACTCTCACCCAATGTCCTTCCTTTGGAAAGCTTCATAATCATATTCTAAATTTAAAAGTAAGTGATCTAATATAGAGTATACTTTCCCTGACTTTCAAAAACAAAGAACAAAAACCTAAGTTGCTAATTACTTGGGTATGTTTATCAGTCATTATTCAGGATTGGTGGCACTACAGAGAAAAGGCTGCCCATTCCAAATTGAAAATGTGCCATTTGCTATAGTGAGTTCAATGGCTTCTGTTTACATACTACTTATTCTAACTGATCGTAACTCTGTCTTTGCCCAAAGGGAGGGAAACATACTTGACTTACCCAATTGGTTATTTCAGGCCTCTTGCACTTATCAATACAGAGAATAGCTACAAAATTGATTGTTCCCTTCCGTCGCCCTTTGTAGACAACTGTCTTGCTTCCTCTGCCAATCTCTTCATACAGAATGAAGTTTTCCATCTCTGGGCTGACGTCTCACGTTTGATAAAATGGCAGCCTAATAGCATCTCTAGCTCCTAAAAAGTAAACAAAAATGACACTTAAAATTGCAAGCTTGGGACTTCCCTGGTGGCATAGTGGTTAAGAATCCACCTGCCAATGCAGGGGACTCGGGTTCAAGCCCTGGTCTGAGAAGATCCCACACGCCGCAAAGCAAATAAGCCCGTGCACCACAACTACTGAGCCTGCACTCTAGAGCCTGCAAGCCACAACTACTGAGCCCATGAGCCACAACTACTGAAGCCCACGCACCTAGAGCCCATGCTGTGCAAGAAGCCACCGCAATGAGAAGCCCGCACAACGAAGAGTAGCCCTCACTCACTGCAACTAGAGAAAGCACGCACACAGTAATAAACACCAAATAACAGCCAAATAAATAAATTTATTTGTTTAACATGCAAGCTAGTTGCATGATTAATTAGCCTAAGCTATTTAATATGTAAATAAATCTAATAATTCTATATTCAAAATATTCACCTACAAATGTTGAATACAAGTCTTTTTCATAGAATAAAAAAGGAAAAAATAAAAGAAACAATTCACAAACTAATATTCAACGCCCTAGTAACAAGACTTCAATAAAAATAATGAAAATGACAGCTATTTCCAACACATGGAACAAAATCAGGGAATGAATGAGATTTCAGCCAGTGTATCTTGATACCTGTCTTACTTTCTCTGTTACACTGGAAAGCACTTTGTGTCAATATCTGTATAATGAATGGGGTAATATGCCCCACCTAAACCCAACTTATGAGAAATGAGACAATGTATGTGAATACTCTATAAATAAATATGGAATGATAGTACATCTATCTAATCCATAGGGATTGGAGTCAATCCAAATATTATTCAAAGTCAGTGGTGAGCAAACTACTGGTTCCTGGGCCAAATCCAGCTTGCTGCCTCTTCTATAAATTAAACTTAACTGGAACATAGCCATGCTCAATCATTTATATATTGCCCAAGGATGCTTTCAGGCTACTACGGCAGTGTTGAGTAGTTGTAACAGAGACCCTGTGGCCTGCACACCCTCTAAAATATTTACTATCAGGCCCTTTACAGAAAAAGTTTGCCAACTCCTGTTTTAAATCAAGAATTTTTTTTTAAAACACCCACATCATTATCAAGGATAATGAGTTCATTTTCTTGGCCAAGAAAAATCCCCTAATATTCCTGAGTGAATAACAATTTGATGTAGTCTTTTACTAGTCTAGTTTTTTTTTTGTTTTTTTGTTTTTTTTGGTTTTTTTTGCGGTACGCGGGCCTCTCACTGTTGTGGGCTCTCCCGTTGCGGAGCACAGGCTCCGGACGCGCAGGCTCAACGGCCATGGCTCACGGGCCCAGCCGCCCCGCGGCATGTGGGATCTTCCCGGACCAGGGCACAAACCCGTGTCCCCTGCATCGGCAGGCGGACTCTCAACCACTGCGCCACCAAGAAGCCCACTAGTCTAGATTTTTAATTAAAACTGAAATAAAATAATGGACTTGATTTATTAAACATATTTCCAACAACAAAGTTGTTTACTCAACCAAAAACATCTTTTAAACTGGCATCTCTTTGAGAGGATTATACATGCTAGACTACATAAAACTTCCCAGAAATTACCCAAGCAGTAACATATCCTCTTTAAAAACAGCTTATGTTTCTGTATGGTACCCAGGAAGTCAGAACATAGCAAAATCCCTATGAAACAGAACATAAAAGAGCAATCAATTAATGGGTATGGGGTTTCTTTGGGGGCAGATGAAAATGTTCTAGAATTAGATAATGTGGATGGTTGTATAACTCTGTAAATACACTAAAATTCACTGAATTGTACAATTTTAAAGGGGTGAATTTTATAGTATGTGAATTTTATCTCAATATTTTTACTGAGGTATAACTGACATATAACAACGTGTACGTTTAAAGGGTACGTGTTGATACATTTATACATTATAATAGTGTTAAGTAATGCTACGATGGTAACCATCTCATCACATAATTATTTCTTTTTTCTGTCAAGAACATTTAAGATCTAGTCTCTTAGCAACTTCGAAGTACATAGTACATGTTTGCTGACTATGATCACGATGATGTACATTGTATCTCCAGAACTTATTCATCTTTGGTTATGAGCCATACGGCAACAGACAGAGGAGCAAGATTTGGCCGGTAGGCAATAGTTTACTGACCCCTATCTTGGTATAGGAAACCATTAATCTAAGAATCTAGGAATAACTCTATGATTCCAACTTCCAATGAAATTAAAACTTACTGCAAGATGGGAAAAATTCTACTATAAAAACTTACAGGCTCATGGACTTCCCTGGTGGTGCAGTGGTTAAGAATCTGCCTGCCAAAGCACGGGACATGGGTTCGAGCCCTGGTCCAGGAGGATCCCACATGCCGCAGAGCAACTAAGCCCCTGCGTCACAACTACTGAGCCTGAGCTCTAGAGCCCGCGAGTCACAACTACTGAGCCCGCGTGCCTTAGAGCCCGCGCACCACAACTACTGAAGCCCACACACTCTAAGGCCCATGTGCAGCAACTACTGAGCCCATGTGCTGCAACTACTGAAGCCCATGTGCCTAGAGCTCGTGCTCCGCAACAAGCCACCGCAATGAGAAGCCCGCACAAAACAAAGACCCAATGCAGCCAAAATTAAAATTAAAATTAAAAACACTTATAGGCTAGTAATTACATTTAGTCATTTGGATTATAAACCTGGTATGTAGATCAAATAAGAAATCTAATTATTAACAGCGAGATTTCTAAATTCTAAATAGAAAAAATGTGGGACAGTTTTGAATTTAATCAATCAAACCCAAAAAAGGCACAGATAATATCTATCTATTTTAAGAAACAGTTTTACTAAGTCCCTCTTACATTCCTCTCCTCCCTGAAACCCACTCATTAAAAAGAACTGTAAAAAATTAATAAACATGTATAACTGAATTACTCTGCTGTACATCTGAAATTAACACATTGTAAATCAACTGTATTTCAATTAAAAAATTTTTTTGAATTAATAAACAGAAACACAGGAAGATAGCATCCACTTCCTAAAGCTTTTGGGCTTAAAGGGACATAAGGTCACCGAAGCAAAACTGCAACTTGCCCAAACCCAGGTTTGATATTTAGGGCATCTAATATCAGAAAAAGGGCTACACCTAGATCCAGAGAGACTTCATGGCAGCCTACGTTTCCCAAAACCAAAACTAAGCACCAGCTGTGACGTTTTCTCAGGCTAGTTGGTTACTGCAGAAATTGGATCCCAAATTTCTCTTACAGCCAAATCTCTACATGTTTTACTCAACAATAACAACCTCAACCCAATCTTTTGAGAAGGACCACAAGACACAGCCTTCAAGGCCTTAAAATAGAGTTTGATGAACCTACCTGCCCTTGGGCATCCCCATTATCATATTCCCTTTTTCTTTTTTGTATATGAAAAGGAAGAGCATGCCCTTGGGGTAGTCACCCAAAACCATGGAGACCACCATCAGCCCAAAGGGTATTATAAACAGCAACTGGACCCTGTGGCACAGGGATACCCCTTTGCCTTAGAGCCATTACAGCCACTGCCCTTTGGTTAAGACCAGTGGGAAAATCATGTGGGATCCCCTTTAACCATCTGTACCTCATGCAATAGAAGCTCTCCTAAATTCTCATTACACTCAACGTTTATCAGCTGGCCTCCTCACCGCCTATGAAATCCTTTTGTTAGCTGCCCCTCCCATAACTCCTTGGTTGTTATAATAACTCAACCTGGCTACTTTCTCCCCTCCTTCACCAACAAAGTACCTCTCCACACCAATCACCTCATGGTTCTATAGGAAATTCCACTGGGTAAATGTGACTTCTCATGGTTCACTGATGGTTATTTTAAAGGTGACGATGGCAAATACTTTGCTGGGTACGCTATTGCAACTCCTTTTGATGTTGTTGAGGCAGCATCTTTACCTATGGCTACATCAGCCCAACATACTGAATTACACACCCTTACAGGGGCTTGTAGTTTAGCCAAGGACAAAAGTGTCAATATTTACACTGACAGTAGGTATGCTTTTAGAGTAGCTCATGATTTTGGAATGTTGGGGAAGCAATGTGGCTTCTCTACTTCCAGTGGAAATAAAATTTTAAGTGGCCCCTATATTCAGGAATTATTGAATGCAATACTTTTACCTGCCGCTTTAGCTATTATTAAGATTCCAGGGCATTCTAAGCTTGACTCTCTGGAAGCAAAAGGAAATCACCTTGCGGCTATTTCTGCAAGGAATGCTGCCCTTAAAGGGACCAAAGGCAGCCAAACCTCTGTCATGGTCCAAAGAGATATTTCTCCAAATGACAATTTAGAAAAACTGGCTAGAAAGGCCCAACAGTTGGCCTCAGAAAAGGAAAAACAAGATTAGAAATTCAGGGGGTTCCCTGGTGGCGCAGTCGTTAAGAATCCACCTGCCAATGCAGGGGACACGGGTTCGAGCCCTGGTCCGGGAAGATCCCACATGCCGCGGAGCAACTAAGCCCGTGCGCCACAACTACTGAGCCTGCATTCTAGAGCCTGCGTGCCACAACTACTGAGCCCATGTGCCACAACTATTGAAGCCCGCACGCCTAGAGCCCGTGCTCCACAACGAGAGAAACCACCGCAATGAGAAGCCCGCGCACCGCAAGGAAGAGTAGCCCCCGCTCACCGCAACTAAAGGCAGGCCGCACGCAGCAACGAAGACCCAATGCAGCCAAAAATAAATAAATAAATAATAAAAATAAATAAAAGAAAGCTGCCTGCTGACTTAAAAAAAATTAGAAATTCAGCAACTGTTGGTTTGATAGAAGAGAAAGCTCTGGTTTGAACTAAATAACAACAGTCCTTTGGGAGACCAAGATCCCCACTCCTCACCACTGTACATGCATTAAAGCATCAGTCTACTAACAAAATGATAGACTTCATGAATCAATATTGCTGGGGAAACACTAAGAAGGCCACAAAAGGTGCCTACCTCACTTGTCAAAATGTAACCCGTGTAGGCCT